TTATTCCGATGTCGACGGCGGCGGCGAAGCGGCCGTCGAAGGACAGGCACACGAAGGTGGAGGGGCGCGGGCGGCGAATCCGCATGCCGGCGACGTGCGCGGCGAGGATCTTCCAGCTGACGCGCGAGCTGGGACACAAGTCCGACGGAGAAACAATCCGGTGGCTCCTGGAGCACGCTGAGCCCGCAATCATCGAGGCCACCGGCACCGGCACCATCCCGGCGATCGCGGTGTCGGTCGGCGGCGCTCTGAAGATTCCGACGTCCTCGGCGGCGAGGCCCGAGGGAGAAGACACGCCGAGGAAGCGAAGGAGGAGAGCGTCGAACAGCGAATTCATCGACGTGAACGAAAGCCAGGTGTCGGTGTCTTCAGGGCTGGCACCGATCGCGCAAACCGCGTACGGCGGTGGCAGCGGTGGTGGTGGACTCGTTCCGGTGTGGCACGGGTCGAACGCTTCGGGGCCTTTCTTCATGTTCCCTAACAGTTCGAACCCGCCTCAGTATTGGGCCATTCCCGCAAGCGCGACCCCGTTTTTCAACGTCCAAGCCCGGCCCATTTCGGGTTTCGTTTCGGCCATGCAGATTCAACATGATAATAACCACTCCTCGGATTCTGCTAACTCTTCCTCCACCGTGGCTCATACTATGAGCTCAGTAAGTGTTACTAGTGCAGCTTCTGCTTCTACTTCCACTTCTGGCTCCTCTTCTTCCGCTGCAACAACCACCCAAATGCTCAGGGATTTCTCTTTGGAAATTTATGACAAGAAAGAGCTTCAGTTTTTGGGTCAACCGCCACCCTCTTCAAAGGAATAAATAAATCAAATTGTTTACCACTAGTAGTAGACATTTAAACAATTTTTCTTTTTGTCAATTTGGGCTTTGTTTAATTTTGGTTAATGGTTAGGACTTAGGACTTAGGATTTGGGAACAAATTTTGTTATTTTAAATCTTAAAAGGCTGTTTATTGTTTTTTTAATTTAATTTTATGTTATTGGGAAAGCACTAGGGGTATGGTCCCACTCTGAGCCGTGCGTTGGCACGTGGGAGGTGGGGTTATTGGATAAGTGGTGACTGGTGAGACGGTGTGAGGATAGCGTTGTGGGGAACTGGGGGCTGACTCTGATAGGTGCGTCAACGAGAGAGGTGGGGTCACGTGAGGTCGCGCACGTGTTGGGTGGTGGGGCCCAGTGTGTGGGTGGGGAAAGTGAGGTGGTCCGTGGAGCGTGGTGAGTGGTTGAAGTTGGGCCACGAGATTTGGTCATGTGATTGCTAGTTTTCGGCACGTGTCCCTATGATTTGGTGGGCCCCGCTCGTGGGTGGAACCAGCCTGGCCCTCTCTACACACGTGTCGAGTAAGGAGGGAGTACGTAGCTGGTTCACACGTGGACCCCTGCTTCACTGGCCACACTGCGCCCTTCCCTAGACTAGGTGCCCTATACTTTGGGACACGAGTTCTATTTATATGAAAAAATAGCAAAGGTCACAGAAATTAAAGTTAACCAAGAAAAAGAAACTCCCTTTACTGCCATTTCTACTCTCAGTATTACTTTTTCTTAAGGAGGTAACATTTTTAGTGTCTTTGTATTATTATTTTGATTGTATGATTTTGGTTCATCTGATCTTAGTTATGTCAATTCAATTCTTCAAGATTCTTTTTTATTATTATTTATTTAACATTTAATAAAAAGATTTGGATTTTATAATAAAGGATGTACTTTAAAAGATAAATCTAATAATATCTTAATTAAAAAATTGATGATAAAAATTATGATAAAATTAAATGCGTGTCATAAAAATTAAAATTAATTATAATATTTATCATTAATACTATAGTTAATAATTATTATTATACTTTATTTTTAATGTAAAATCTTTTACTTTAAAAGAGATAATTCTTAATAAAATGGACTAATATAACAAATTGAGCATAATGAGATAGTAAATAAATATAAAAGGGTTAGTAAAGTGAATTTCAATCTTTGTAGATCAATTCGATCCACCTTGAAATTATGTTAGGTTGGGTTAAAAAAAAACTCATAATTGGTAAAAAAAATCTAAACGTAACTCAATCCATCAATTTAAAATATAAATATAAATAAAAAGATATAAAAATATTTTTTGACACAAATATATATAT